CCTCGATGATCTATTGAGGTCCCTTCCGACCCGAACATCTATGAATCTATGAATCATGGAACTGACTGGGCCCCAAAGGTGCAGCTGTAGCTGCAAGATTAGCTTACCTAATGGTTTATGCTCAGGGTTCAGCCTTGACGATAAAAACTGGATCCAACCGCCTGGCTCACCCAACACATTCCAGGAAACCACATCCCAAGAAAGCATATTCAAATGAAACCTAAAAGTGGTTGGGCTTAGGCGGAGTAATGTCAAGGAGGGAGCAGAACAGTCACTGCTGTTCCAGCCCGGACTCCAGACTCCTGGTGTGAGTGAGGATTGGATCCTAATCAAGGGACTTTCCCCGGTAATCCCTCCGACAGCATCGATCGGGGACACCTGACTTTGCTGGAATCATTTGGGCGCACCTGCCATCGAGGAACTATTGATAAGTTGCTAACCCATGTCTGTCTATCTGTTGTTTTGAACAGCCCAGTGGCTGATACCCTTGCAGTGCCCAGTTGGCCTGCTACACATTGATCCATCTCTCTGTTGTTATTATTTGTTGTCATTATTTACTATTAGCTCCTTAATACTGCATTATCTGCTCATCGCATTTATCTTTCTGTTAACCACTGTATATGTGAGCTATAATAAATTTGCCTTTGCTTCACTCCCAACTTTGCCTCCTCGATCCAAAACTGAACCAAACAGCCCAGTGGCTGATTCCCTCGCAGCGCCCAGTTGGCCTGTGATAGAAATGATACATTCACAGAACTGTGACAGACCCTATGCCTAGATCCTGGGGGCAGAGGTCAGAGACAAGAGCCCAGATAGCACAGGCTTTGCACCAGAGGCAGCTGTAGGACTCTGTTCCCCTGAGACAGGAGCAGGACATGAGAGCTCTGAGTTGGCCCTGGCCACGAACAAAGGCAGCAGTGGGGAGCTAAGCCTTTGGCGGTTGGGCGTGCGGAGGTTGCTGAAGGGCCTGGTGTTGCAGCCACTGCCCATGAATGCCCTTGCCAGCTCCCCTGTAGGCAGAGAGCAGGAGGGTGCTGTGGGCTGCAGGGCACAGGGAGACTGAAGGGCAAGAGGAGTGGTGCAGTGACTAAGGGAAGCCCTCCCCTCTTTCACCCCATAGATGGCAGATCCCTTCTCGGAGGTACGTCCTGTTTTCTGCTCTGTGCTCTCCCTCCTTGAGTCCTTCAGGACCCGCTCTTTCCTCTGATACATCATCTGTCTGATGGTAGGTGCCAGTCTTTGGTACCAGCACTGGTATGCAGACAACCTGTCAGGGGTACACGTGCCCTGCCCAGACTTTGCACCCATGAGGGTGAGAGCGAGGTGCCCACATGTACACAAAGTCCAAACATCCCTTACTGCACGTCGCTCCCACCCTTGTGGGTGGAAGGGCCCGGTCCTGCCAGCACCGCTTCCAGGTGGGGGCCCCAGGGCCCTGCTCTGCTTCCCGGTCTCTTGCTGGCTCCAAGAAGCAGGTTGGGAAGCGGCAGGGGCTGGCGGCGCGCAGGGACGC